ACTAACTTATGTATTATCCCTTTCTACTAGGATAACTAACAGTGTTAACTTTAGATATCCGTAGATGTACATTTACCTCTGTTGCTAACAGCTGGGTGTAGGAATAGTTAATCCCTTAAAGTATACCTGTAATGGTATCAACCGAAGACATCCGTGAATGTTTCATTTACCTCTGTAGCTAATAGAGATTCTAGGAATGGTTAATCCCGTAAAGTATCCTTTGGTACTAGGATATAAAGTCCAATCTATCTCGTCGATGATGTGTTTGTATCACAAGGTAAAGATAGAAAGGAGAACTATATAACAGTATCTAGACATATAATATGTAATAGTAATTTGTCATATAATGTCTATGTAAAAGTATTCATGTATAAGTATTCATGTAAGAGTATTCATGTAAACGTACTCATGTAAGTGTATCTATGTAAGAGTATCACTATAAATATATCCATGTAAGAGGAATCTCTGTAAGAGTATCCCTTCATATAGCATGTAGTCTAGACTCATGAATGAACAGACTCTGGTGTAACTTCTTGTAATAGGAATAATGTTTTGTATCCCCTAAACTATTCCTATAATAGTTTACTAGAATGTAATTGATGAGTGTCCAAGTAGATTTATACACCCTTGCTACCCAAGAGCGTCAGAACAGAATTAACTGATGGAACATTTATGACTACATATGTACACATAATATATAACTAATATTTAAACGACCTTCGGACGGGTACCCGATATCCCACCAGACCACATCCAAATCGAGGAAAAGGAAATAGGGTGGATATCCTTCCTAAGTCTTTTAAACATTTCTTATATAACTATACATATAGAGGCATGAAATTTATAATATAAAAGCATAAAAGAAGTTTTGTAAAACCGTTGAAAAGTCTAATAAAGAATTTGTGACTTGATGTCAGTTTATAAAACGATTGAAAGTATTTTGTTTGATAAGACAGTTTAAGTACACGGAAAACCACTGTTTGAAAACACCTTTGTAGTCGAGTTTGAAAGGAAGCTTACAATGTGTAAGACAGTTTGATAAAGAGCTTTAATCATGTAAAAATGTATAAGAAAGTCATTTGAAGTAATATGTTTAGTAAAACTGCTAATCTTGTAGTAAATCCATTTGTATACTAGTTATAAATCCCATATGACTGATTTATTAACAACAAGTATCCTAAAATATTGATGTTTTTCGTGCCAAAATAATTGTATGTTTATAGTACCAAAGATGGACACATATACATACAGTATAAGAAGAGTGTTTGATTTATATATATAACAACACTTTTCATTTCAAAAGTTATGATGTTATCGTGATATATTTTTCATACGAAAGTTTCCCTATAATTGTTATAAATCACATATGATTCCGTTGATAAAAAGCATATAATGAACTTTATTATATAACACACGACAATAATCGAGTATTTAACTTGTATTCCCCCCTTAAAAGCATATAAAAGTATTTATAAAACATTTAAAAGTGTAGTTTATAGGGGTATGAACTCACTTGATTGATTGAAGAAAGCGTGACGAAAACCGAGCAGAACTTCTACTCGAGAAAGTGGATCTCTCGAGATTCTAGGGAAATCTCGGGAGTCTCGGGAGTGTAAAACTTTCTTCCCACCTTGGATATGAAAACCGTGCCTTTGGGATGACTCCGAGGGTTGAAACGCAGAGCTTCGGCGCGAGAAAGGAAGGAAATTAGCAAATATGGCCGGCACCCTCGCACCCTTTATATAGGGGCTGGAGGACCTCGGTACGCGGGGCGTACGAGAGTACGCGGTACGTACTCATGTGTCATGCATGAGCGCATCCTCGGTCGAAACGTTGGAGCGACGTGGACGAACCGGAGCCTAGCATCCGAGTACGCTGGGCGTACGAGGGATCGGACCGCTGACTCATTCTTCGGATAATACTGGGTCTTAATTAAATTTATATTTTAATTAACTAGTAAACTTCAAAAATTCATATCTTCCTCATACGGACTCTATTTTCGACGTTCTTTATATCCACACGAAGGTGAGACTACGATCTACAACTTTCGTTTAGACTTCGTCGGCTAAATTTGAATTTATTTTTAATATTATATTCTTAATAGGCCGGGACAGGAAAAGTTCTTTAAAATTTCATAATTCCTTCATCCGCTATCTATTTTCGCCAGACTTTTTACCGTTGTAATACCATTGATGAGATCTTCGATTCTCGTTTAGGTCATGTTGGCAAAAATCCACTCGATCTCGATTTCGAGTTTTTAGCTGTCTACTGCTATGTCTGAAACTTCGAAAAATCATAACTTCCTCATATTAAGTCAGATTTGGGCATTCTTTTTAGGTATGCTTACGGTTTTTGGATATCTAAAACTTTCCTTTAGATAACTAAGGCTAAAAATTATTGTATTGAAACTTCGCGTTTTACGTCTATCAGTGTTGCCGATTTTCGCTGCGAATCTTAGATTGGTTATAACTTCTTCGTTATAACTCGGATTTTAGTGTTCTTTATATGCACGAAAACCTTGATACGATTCCTACCACTTTATTTAACCCAAATAAGTTTTTAGAAAAGTTAAATTTTTACCTATATTCGACTGGTGTTACATTTCATTGTCTTGAAATATCGGGTTGTCACACACACACACACATATATATATATATATATATATATATATATATATATATATAGTAGTTTATAACCCGTGGAACCACGGTTATAAAATTAAATAAATTTTTATAATAAAAATTTATACTTATTAATCAGTTATTTTAAATAAGTCATTTTAAATAAATTATTAATTAAGAGATATATCAAAATTTAAAGTTATTATAACTTTAAATTTAACAAATAATTAGAAAATGTAAATTTGAATTTTGAAATTAGTGACACGTGACATGATATTAATGAGAAGTTATATTAGAATGACACTTGACAAAACAAGATTAAAACTATTTATTTATTAGAATATATATATATATATATATATATATATATATATATGTATGTATGTATGTATGTATGTATGTATGTATGTATATTGCATTATATCTATTACCACTTAAAATTAATTCATAAAATGTAATCCATATATATAAGTCAATAGCGAATTACAAAATAATTGATTGAGCTCCAAACGTCCAAGTTCCAATGTGTCAAATGAGTTCCAAACTTCCAAGTTCAAAACCACAAAGGGTTTTTGACACTGTAGCACATCAATGTTTGATCAATTTGCACATTTAGTCACTTAAGTTTTTTTGTTCTCAATTGATCCTTAATGTTAGTAACTACCGGCTAATTAAAGGAATGTGAGCAAATACTACCGCTTTAAGGGTTATCGCTGACGTGGATTCGCTTATGTGGACAATCATTTGACCATGTCATTTGTAACGTGTAAACCTTCCTTAATTGAAATTTATATTGAACCGTCGAGGTTACATTGTTACCCCAAATTAGGTCAGTGCCTCCCTTCCGAAACTCCACACTCAATCGATATAACCAGAACAATGTCTGCCTCTTCTTGTCGATCAATCAAGCTCCTGCGTGTCGGAAACATTCGTGATGATGATCCCTATCCACCTTGCGATTGTCAAGATGCAATAAGCGTGGAAAGGACTGCCTGGACCGACGATAATGTAGCTTGCAGGTTTTGGAACTGGAAAAACTCTTTGGTGAGTATTCATTTTGTTTACTAACACTGTATTTGTTATTTTGAGCTGGATATGTACACATTTTCATTAATTGCAACCCTAACCCTAACTCTGGTTTTCCCTTATAATCAGGCAGCTGAAGGTCCAAAATGCAAGTTCTTTATGTGGAAAGATAAAAAAATGTAGACAGGTTACTAAAAAGAACAGCTTCGCAAGATGAGGTTTTAGTTGAAAAGGAAAGAAGAGTTTAGTGAAGTTTTGAAGGTTCAAAAGAAGTTGGTTAAGCTGCAGTAAGCTATGGAAGCAGATAAGCAAATGTTTGAGACACAGTTGATGGAGTTGACGAACCAAAACAGAATGTTGAAGTGTGGGATCTTTGTTATGGTAATTGTAGTCATTACCATGTAGTTGAAATGGACTTGAATTGTGCAGCAAATCAAATAGGTGTTTATGGTTGATGGTATATAATTCCAACCAGTTTTTTGGAAAGTGTATGGGTGGATGTTAAAAAGTTATTAGCTTTTTTGGGAAGTGTATGGGTGTATGGGTACATGGTCAATATTAGATCCTAGTTGTAATGTATAGTCAGGTTTTTGGTTGAATGCTTGTTTGATTATTATGTGTATGGGATGTTAGATGTAATGGAATGTAGATGTAATGCAATGTAGATGTAATGGGATGGCAGTACATGGGAACAATTGTAATGACTTTGTGTTGATTAAATGAATGATATGAAATATCCTAGTTAAGATATATCTTGCTGAATTTTATAATATGCATGTGCTTCTTTTATAAATTAAATTGTGGGTACCACATTGTCGGCCATAAGGAACTCACTTGGTCCATTTAAAAGTGGATTGTCTTTAGAGTTCTGTGCAGGGGTATATATGGAAAAGTAAGGGTATATGGACCACTGACCACACGTTGTATATAAGGACATAATCAATCATGATTTTAAATTATCTATATATCCAAATATATTCTCTTGCCATGCAGTTTAACCAGACAAGTCCTTGCCATGCATGCAACTTCAAATTAACACAACAAAAAGCTCAAAATAACAATCAACTTAAGTAACACAAAATACAGATCACATAAACCAACATAGTTTCATACAAACTAGCATAGTTAATAGCAGTTTCTTAAAAACAACAACAATACACCAAAACACATCATTAACACTACATACCATGTTCATATCACATAAACCAACACTTACAGTTATTCTAGAGTAATAGGTTTAGCTTCTGAGTTCCTAGGTGCATCATTTCCACCAACTCTCTTGCCCATTTTCAACTTGATAATCCTTTCGGATTTCTTCCTCCTGATTTTCTTCAACAGGGTTACAAGTGGTGTTTATCTAGCCTCCTGTTCTTGCACATGAACCTGACTAGGTTCTCCATTAGCTGATGTATCAAACTCCAAAGGAGTGAGTTCCACCTCATCATAGTCTTGTTGCACATGCACCTCATTGATTGCTTCGGCACCATCATTTACTGCTCCACCTGTTTTGTTTTTCTTTTAGCTTTGGTTTTAGGAGGCCTTGTTAAAGTATAAGCTCTTTTTTTGTGTCCTTCAATCTTACAAAGACTACATTTTTGTTTTTTACCAGCCTTGGATACCTTCACCTGCTCCTTACCTTTGTTTTGTGTATGGGTAGTTGTCTTTGATTTTTACTTGACTGGTTTGGGGTTTCTATTGCATCCTTTTTCCTTTTAGTTGCAGGTCTCCCAGGCATAGCTCTACGAAGAGGAGGTAAAGGTGGGATGTAATCAGTTGCAGGCCACAAATTACTTCCATTCATAGGTGCTAACCTAAACTTGTATGCCTTCATATAAGTGATACTACTAAACATTTTGTCCATATATGACTCTACATCCCTATTCATAAAACTAATAGCTGCAATAGAATGGACACAACCGATTCCATTAAGTTGCCATATTTTGCATGAGCAAGTTCTTTCTTCAAGATCCACTTCAAAAGCATCTGTAGTTCCTCTTACTTCAAAATGATTTAGTCCACTAGGTAAGACTTGGTAATTTCTTAGACCCTTCTTAATGTCATTCACTATTTCTCTAATTGTTGGACAAATTTGGTTGCCACATCCTAGACCCTTGCATTTATTCTTGAACACTCTCTCCATCATATACATCCTCAACTCCTCTAGCATCAACAATCACAACATTAAAACCTTCTGACATTCCATTCTCCACAGCATCACAACATCTTCCTGGTTGGAAGTAGGCCCTTGACCATGTTTTGGGGTCATTTTCCATCAGATACTGATGAGCACTTGGGTCTAGCACTTCAAGCTCTTTCATGGCAACCTTAAAATCTACCTCTGCTGTTGCTTTACGTGCCTTCCAGAAAATGTTTTCATATTGGGCACCACTATACCTTTTCCTAAGGTTTTGGCTAATATGCTTGGCACACTGCCTATGCTCTACATAAGGAAGGAGTTCTTTCACATCCTCAATCAAACCCTATTAACAAATTCTAAATATAGTGAATAAGGATGCAAATAGATAGGAAAATTAATTACAAACAACTAAATTACCTTGTGTTGATCAGATATTACATTGTATCCACAGCCCAAATTAAGTCCTAAGTCATCAATGAGTAAATCCAAAAACCACCTCCAATTTTCCTTATTCTCCACACATACTACTACCCATGCAATAGGATAAATCCCATTGTTTGCATCCCTTCCAACATCACATAATAACTCCCCTTTACAGATCCCTTTAAGGAAACAACCATCTAAACCTATTATCTTCCTACATCCCTCCTTCCACCCCTTCTTCAATGCATCAAAGCAAACATAGAACTTACTAAAGTAGTTCTTCCCATCTGGCATATGATTTACATCAAGCTTTACAGTGCTACCTGGATTTGATCTCCTAATCTCTTCTGCATACGACCATAACTTTGCATAATGTTCAACTAGGGTGCCATCTATTAGTTGGTGTGCATATTTCTTAGCTCTCCTGCATTGACCAACACTAACATGAATGCCAAACTTCTGTGACATAGTTGTTCTTAGCTTTCTAACACTCATCTTTTGTCTAAGTAAGAACTCTCTTGTATAATGACTCCCTATCCAAGCATAAGTGACCATGGACCCTAACTTGTAGTTCCTTGCACATTTGTGGAATGGCTTTAAAGACTTAATTTGGAAGCTTGCTTCATCACTCATCCAAGATGCCCACAACCTAAATTATCACTCACCCTTGCAACACTTAACCAACAATCTTTTCCTATCATTTTTCTCAAAGCAAAGTTGGTACCCATTCGCAACAGCATAGTTGCATAACATCGATTTTAATTGAGATAGGTCTTTGAACCTCATACCAAGTATTGGGATCTGCTTTTTCCATGGAACCAACTCATTAAAAATGGAATGTTGTAAAGTTACATTGGCATCCTCTTCATGCCCATCATGATCATTTATGTTGTTATCATTTCCCTCTTCATCTTCGCCACATAATCTGTTTAGGAATTCATCACCCTTTGTCCTATTCATAGTGACTATGTCCTCATTAAAGTCCACATCCACATTTGCTAGGCTATCAATTTCTTCCTCATTCTCTCCACCATCAATGCAACAATCATCTCCATCCTCCTCTTCTATTTTAGAACCAAACCAATCTTCTATTCCTTGACCATCATGGTCCACATACATACAAATTTTACCATTTGTCCCATATGCATGAAAAATGAAATCACCATACTCTTCATCATTAACGATAGTAGTTATCCCAGATATTAAGGGCTTACCTGGTGTCACACCCCAAAACCGGAACGGCCGAAACATTCTAGGGTGGATGACGTCATATCAAGTATCACAACATATGTAGTATAGTAATCATAGTACAACAATCATTGCATTAATAGTAATAGTTTTACATGGTTTATATTACATAGAAACTTCAAAGTAATACAAGTAATAATGTAGGTGCAGCTTGGTACTAAACTGTCTTCACCAAAAGCTCCTGGAATGTACCTGTCTAAAGCTGACCTGAGAATACAAGTTATTTGAAAGCGAGTATCAGCATTTTTACAAATGCTGGTGAGTTCATAAGTATTTAGTGTCATTTTATCCAAATAACTTTATATAAGTAGTAGTTTTAAAGTATACAATGAATTAGAGTCCTTTCCAGAAAATCCTATATTTTCTAATTAAAAGCAGTCTTCTACCAAGACTGGACAGAGTTATGTGGTAAATAGTAATTTTTCCTTAAGACTATCATTTTCAAAATGTGGTATTGATTTTGAAAGAAAGTAGGAGAAATCAGGGAAAATAACATATGCCTCAGCAGTGAGGACTGCTGACTAAGGAAAAAGAAATCATAGACTCCAGGGGAGTATCGAATGAACGGTACGCCTGGCTCATTCTAACAAAAAGGGAGACACAGACCCCAGACAGTATCAAATGAAAGATACGTCTAGTAAGGTCTAAAAACAGTGAACACAGACCCCCGACAGTATCAAATGAATGATACGTCTAGCAAGGTCTAAATACAGTGAATACAGTGTTAAAACCCATTACCTTAAAGCCATGAATTATAAGGTAACCCCGAGATACTCGTAACCATACTGATAAACACTAGAGAACTTGACGCCCTGCAAGCATCGGTATGAATATGACATTTGTCACCCCTTGGCTTGGTAGGTCGTGGACTGTAGCTAGCAGTCAGGGTGCGGGGGTGTCAATCCCGTATAGCTATACACACAATGTCCGCTTTCCCTACAAGAGACTCTGGTTACTATCCTGACAACGGAGAAGGTCATGTACTGAAGATGTATCTCGTGTAGTGAGATCTGATGTGAAAATGATGGAGACTCGCAACTAAACTGACTAATGTAAACCTATATGTCTATGCTTGTATACATAATATATAACTAATGATCAAACGACCTTCGGACGGACATACGATCCCACCAGACCACATCTCAACGAAGAAAAGGAAATAGGCGAACTAGCCTTCCTAAGTCCTTGAAACATTATTTATATAACTATACAAGCATAGGCATACATTTAACTAAGTAGAAGCATTTAACAAAGTTTAAGTGTTTAACGAAGTAGAAGTGTTTCACAAAGTATAAGTGTATCGTGAAGTATAAGTGTATCGTGAAGTGTAAGCGTATCGTGAAGTGTAAGCGTATCGTGAAGTGTAAGCGTATCGTGAAGTGTAAGCGTATCGTGAAGTATAAGCGTATCGTGAAGTATAAGTGAATCGTGAAGTATAAGCGTATCACAAAGTAAAGGTGTTAACAAAGTAGTAGCATTAACTACGAGGAAGTATAACGAAGCAGTAGTATCTAACAAAGTAGGAGTATAAAATCACAGAAGAAAACTTTTATGAAATCTATGGAAAACCTTTATACTTTAAGAAAATTATTCATAAACAAGTTTTGATTATAACCTTGATAAAGTAGAGAAAACCTTTATTTAAAATGCTGATGTAACAGAGTTTGAAATAAAACATACATCACGAGAGGCAATTTGAGAAAAGCTTTGAACACATAAAGATGTTTTAGAAAACCATTTCTAGTATCAAACTTGGTAAAAACAGTTGACAGTGTAATGAATCCTTGTGCATGCGGGTTATCAATCACATGTGATTGATATGATAACTGACATGTTTAACTTGTATTACCCCCCCCCCCCCCCCATAAAATCATGTAAAAACATTTAAAAGGTTAATTCAGGGGTATGAACTAACCTGTTGTAAGTGGATCCGACGAAGGTGTCGGTTGGGTGCTCGGTGTCAAGTAAAGACTTGAACACACTTAGTGACCTATTAAACATATGATAACATATGTTAACATACAATTAGCAAATATATTACTAATTAAACACGTATACGCATCCTAAAGTGCGGAAAACACTTTGGTTAAGTGTTTGGAGTGTCCCGGGTAACATCTAAGGGTGTGTATGGCTTAAATAGGGGGTTTACTCTTCGAGAGTAAACTCTTCATAGAGTTCATGGCCCTAGGACTAACTCCCCATGAGTTTACAACCGTAAACTCATGGTGAGAGTGTTCTAGGATGCCAAAATGTCTTATATCACTCAAGGAATTAGGCTAGACTCAAATCTTGGGCTTATGAAAGGTTTAAGGCCTCACATGGACCATTTTTGGGAGTTTACAACAATAAACATGGAGTTTACGGCCGTAAACTCCTACTCACCCTTTCATTTTGTGTTTTGAGGTCTTAAATGGTAGAGAATAAAGTTTTATGCATCTTTCCAAGTCAAATGGGGAATTTAGGGCATCATTTGGGCACCTTTTAGGAGTTTACGGTCCATGGACCTTTCCTAGGGGGGTTTACGGCCGTCAACTCCTATTTCCTTGGTTTCTTTAATGTTTAAATTATTTACATCCGTGGGATTGCTTCTAGACATTTTTCCAAGGCGATAGGAGGTGTTTGAGGGCATTTCTAACACTTGAACTTGATTTTACTCCCCATGAAGAGGAGTTTATGGTCCAAGCATGTTCTTGGGTAGTAAACTCAAGTTTACTCCCCAAAATTATAGTTCATGGTGTTCTAAGTCCGAATGTGTAAGTCCACAAGTCATATCTAAGCCTTAGGGGCAATTTGGAGGGGTTTTGGGGCTTAAAAAACCCATTTAGGGGTGTTCACGGTCCAAGAGTGTTGTTGGGTCGTAAACACATAACTTGGCCCCTATTTGATATCTTAAACACGAATTTGCATGTTAGTTAAGCTATACAACAAGTTAGGATAGAGTTCTTACTAGTTTGGGGCTCGAAACGGGTGTTTTTGGCTCGAAAACGAGTTGTAGAGAGAGAGTGTAGAGAGAGAGAGAGTGGAAAAGGTGGAAATGGAGTTTACTCTCCCTTATATAGGGGCTTGAGTTGAGGTTCAGTGAAAATCTACTCGATACTGCCGTTAAACGGAGCTTTTGGTCACAACCGATTTAGTGGTCGTATTTTGATTTGGTTGAAACTAAAACTTTTCAAGGGAAAAATTGGGGTGTTTCTATTTTATTTCAACCCTCATAAAGTCATTCAAAAAGTCCCAAATTTATTAACCAGTCCAAAAGTTAACGGACAGTTAAATAAAACGAGGCTTATTAACGGAAAAAGGGGTTAAAAATGACGGAATAAATTTCGGGTTATCATACCTAGTTCACAATAGTATAACTTCTTTATACTTTCTTGCATGAACCATTCGAGAAATGTGATACATTCACCGTATGTCATTCCAGAAAAATCGTGATCAATGAAAGTAAAATTGATACCATGGTTATACGAGAAAGGATTTCTAAGAAAAACACCTTTCAAGTTTAGCTCCACTATAGGGTAGAGTCCATTAGGGTTTGGCGTTGAGATAGACATTGTGGGTTGGTTGACTACTCACTGACTTCGATCAGAGAAAACGACTTCGAACCCTAGGTTTAGTGCTTCGTATTCACTGTAAGATGAGAAAAAGAAAGAACGAAGAAGGAGTGTTCTAGCTAAATAAATGTGCTTATTTTGACCTCTAAATCCTACATGGATAAAATTAATGAATTATATTATGTAAACTTATTCCACGTAAGCAATATCATCGGTTGTTCCGTTTATCGGGTTCATAAGGAGGTAATTAGCCGGAAGTTACTAACATTGGGGATCAATTGAGCACAAAAAAAAAAAACCTAAGTGACTAAATGTGCAAATTGACAAAACATTGATGTGCTACAGTATCAAAAACCCAACCACAAACCGCACAGCATGTGCGGTTTGATACTTTTCAAAACGGCAAACCATAATGCGAAGACTCTAAACCGTGTTATGCGATGCAGTGAGGACGGATGATGGTTTGATGAAATATACGACTTAGACATTAGATATATGAGAAATGCAAAATGAAAATTACATTATACATATTGAAAACCTACTGTTTTAAACATGACTGAATTTTAAGAAGTAATAAAAAATATATACACAACTTAGTAATAAAGAAAAATATATTGAAAAATAACAATATTTATATTATATTCAAATATGCAAAACACTCGCAAACAGAATATCAACATTGCATAACCATATCAAACGTATTTGATTTAGTTAAATGAATATTCAGATAAAACAAAATTTGTATATACAAAACTACCCACAATTATAAAATACTTGAATTATAAAATACTCTATTCCTGAACTAAACTTATTGAAAGACTTTTGCCTATGTAACAATAACCCAAAATCCTAACACTTTTGTAGACGAAATAAAAACAGAAAGTCGTTTGAAATACAACCGTATGTATTACTTGATAATGAATGTAACCTATATGTCGTAACCATTTAAATATATATAAAAAAATTCAGCCTTTTAAAACTTTTTTGTTTTACGTTTCTCATATTTCACTTTTATGAAAAATCACCAAAACTCCATCAAATTAGATAGAAAGTCCTCAAAAGTCCACAAACAACTACTTTCCTCAAAATCTAAGAACGTTTAGCCCAACAGCAGTAGCCCATACTATCAATTAACCCATACTATCAATTAGCCCAACAGCAGTAGCCCATACTATCAATTAACCCATTAAAGATTTTCTGTTTATTTTTTGAGCTGCGACGTATGAAGTTAAAAATCACCAAAAATCCACAAAATTAGATAGAACATCCACAAAAGTCCACAAACACACAAAAGTCCACAAACAACCACTTTCCTCAAAATCTATGAAGTGTGGTTTATATATATATATATATATATATATATATATATATATATATATATATATATATATATATATATATATATATATCTTTATTATTATATAATACATATTGGATGTTTTTTGAAAATTA